GCTGATGTCTCTGTCATGTGATTTCCCAGACGGATCCCTGCAGAGAGCCGTCCAGTTGGAGGCCCCCACCCTTGCGGCCTCCCTCGGGCGCAGCCCCACCGTGGTCGTCCGGCCTCAGCAGTTCCAATCGTACCAGCCCCAGAGCATCCCCACCGCACCTTCAGCGGCCGTGGCCGAGAGGGGCCCCAAGCCCGCGCCCACCGGGGAGCCCACCCTCCCACGCGCCGGCAGGAGTGGCAACGCCAGGACCCACTCAGCAGCCAACTCCCTCATCATGGAAGGCAAGGAAAACCCCCCTAAGAGTGAGCCTCTACCAAAACCACCTGCGTCCGCCCCACCTTCGATCCTGGTGAAACCAGAAAACTCGAGAAATGGCACCGAAAAGGTAGGAGTGAGTTGACATTAGGGGGCTGCCCCTTCAGGCCCCTGCCCCTGCACTGTCACAGCCCCTGAGATGGCAGCGTCAGTGGCCAAGGAATCAAAACGCGGCCCCAAAGGAGCCTCACACAGAGCCCCCCGCAGGCCCCTCCGCACACACATACCACATCCCCCGGATGTCTCCCGAATGTTTCTCACGTGCTCCTTCCGAGGCCCAGGGTGGCTTGGCAGGATCACGGCTTTGCCAGCAGACAGACCCCGGTTTGAATTCCAGCTCTGCTGCTCACTGTCTGGCGACTTCCGTCTGAGACTCTCATTTGTCTGACCTGTAAAACAGCAAAAAGAGTAAGTCTCAGGATTGGAGTGGAAATTAAATAAGATCAAACATATAAAGTGCCTACATAGAGCTTGATACTAAATTGTTTGTAGTATAGAAAAGGCAGCTGAGACAGGAAAATTTAAGTGATTTATCAAGGTCACCCTGAGTTATAACGACTCCAACAAGTGTTACTGTGACCCATTAATTTCTAGTTCAAGGCCCTTCCCACTAAAAGACAGGAAATTTTATGAGCCTTATGTTCTCAATAATGTCCATGAGGAAGGAGGAACGGTGGAACAGAAGAGGTGACATTAAGAAAATTAGGTGACTGTCATCTTTTAGTTTATTAAACGTCACTCACCACAATCACCACCACCACCACCATCCCCACAGTTACCACCACCACCACCATTTCCACCGTTACCATCACCACCATCACCGCCCCCACCACCACTGCCCCCATCACCACCACAAATCATCCATCCCCTCCAAATGGCAAGATGATAGGTTTCCTCCCTTGTTAAGCATTCAGTGAAAGCTAACCACCTGCTGACTCTGTCTAGAGAGTTCCTAACTTATATAACTTATAAGTCCTAAGAGCAGAGTTTACAAACTGGACATCTGTTAGTTGAATGTAGTCTACAGAAACTTTGAGAGTTTAAGTTAGCTGGCAACACATAGAAAATGGAAAGTTGCATATAAAAATCAGCATTTCATATATCCTTTTTAAGAAATTGCAGATCTGACACACTGAGGCCTGTACCCCATTCCGGGTCTGATGCTGGCTGGGTCTGATGAACAGCCCCCTTTCTATGGGAGACACGGTCTCCTCTTTGCCCAACATCCTCCCCTCCCTCTTGTAAGTTATATAAGTTAGGAACTCTAGACGGAGTCAGCAGGGGAGATGGATGAAGAGAGAGGCCTTGAGATCAGCCTTAATGGTAGGCAGAGAGGATTGTGGGATGGTGAACTTCTGGTACTTCCCGGAAGGGATCATACCCTCTTTTCCCAGTTGCTGCCTCGCCCATTTCTTCTAGTGAATTCCTACTAATTCTTCAGTTGTCAATTTAAACAGCTTTGCCTCTAAGAAGCCTTCCTAAACAGGCCCATTCCAGCTGTCAGTCCGATACTCCTCTGTGTCCCCTTAGCACCCTACACCTCCCCCACCACAGCGCTTCTTATACTCGTCTGCCTGTCAGGACGGTTTTGTTCACTCTTGGATTTGCAGCACCTAACATAGGACATGATGCATAGCAGACATACATGGCAGACACAGGTATTCGCTGAATGAACATAAAACTGAGGCCTCTCAAGTAGGAACAAGGGTTGAGAAGCAGCAAGACCTAAGTCCCAGGGGAAATGGCCTGTCTCCCAACCTCACCTGTGTCTGTCTACTCTCCTTTCTCTTGCAGCAAGTCAAAACTGTGAGATTTCAGAATTACAGCCCTCCTCCTGCCAAGCATTACACCTCCCACCCCACCTCTGGAAAGCCTGAACAGCCAGCTACCCCTAAGGGGTCCCCGCCTGAAGCGTCCCCCTTGGAGCCAGAGATGACTGTCCTATTCGCCCACCGAAGTGGCTGCCACTCCGGACAGCAGACAGACCTCCGGAGGAAGCCAGCTTTTGGCAAGACCCTGACCCCAGTGTCCACTGCCTTAGCCACACAGACCATGTTTCCCAGCAAATGAATCTATGGGTGGCTTTTCCTCGACCCCAAAGAGATGAATTGCATTTAAATACAGTCTCCTCCACGGAAGGCGTCCTGCCATTCTCTGGGGACTTGAGCATGGGTCCTTGTGACCTGTTTATCTCCAGGAAAGGAAAGGTGGGAGAAGAGGTTCCTCCCCTGGGTGAGAGGATGGATTGGGTGTCTCCCAACATGAGGATTCAGGGCAGAAAAGCCACTGCTCAGACCAGAGAGCAGGAGACCACCCTGCCCGCCCTGCTCCCCAGCACAGTCTGAGGCCTGTCACCCTGTGTTCTGTGTAGAATTTCTACAGTGTCCTAACAGGGCTTCCGCCAGAGGTGTCACAATAGTGGGAATGTGGGCGTCACTTCTTTGATCTCATCACCATGTTTTTAAGCATCAGAATCGCTTCTGCCATCTTCTGGGGCTTAGTGGGCACCGTGTCTGTTCCCCTCCACCGAGTCATAGTCCTGACTGCAAAGGAGTCATACTCCTGACTCCATGCCTGGAACAGGCACACGATGGGCATCTTGGACATTCCGAGAACCCTCTAAAACCAAAGGGAGTCAGCTCCCTGGGTTTGTTCCAAACAAGAATGTCAGAGAGAATGCTACCTATTATCATACTTTAAGCTTCTCGATCTGTTTCCCCACATGTAATGCTATACATGGGATAAACAGGAAGCAGGTAGCTGTGAACAGGGTCCTATATAGTGTTACAGGCCATGCATTCATTCTGGCTTTGGTCTGACTTCCCCAAGAAAACACGAGACGCTTGAAAACAACTTTGTAAGGGGTTTGAGTTTAGATATATATTCTGTTTGCATTGCAACATTCTTTACTTGCTCTGGTTTCTTCTCATTTGCGGCAGACAAGCTGTTTCCCCAGGATAAGGCAGCAGTGTCCGTGGGAAATGCTAGTCGAGGCTGGGGTGGGCGCTTTGCAGAGGAAAGGTGCTGGGGAGGCACTGGACGGACAAGGCTGGAATGGAAAGGGGGGGAGGGGAGGTGAAGAAAATACGTAGCAGAGAAAAAGGGGAGGTGGTCAGAGGAAGGAGAAGAAAAAGAGGAGTACGGAAAGTGGCTGGGAAGCAGAGGAAAGGGGCAGAGAGGCACTTAGATTCAGACGAGTGGGAACAGAAGGGCAGAGTCCGCAGACTAGATGAGCCCACGGAGGGGGGGCTGGAGTGGCAGCGACCCTTCAGCAGGGCCCGCGAAGAGGGTGAGAAGCATCCCCAAGAGCAAGGCAGTGCTCAGGGAGAGCCCGTTAATTCTCATTAAACTCAACTGCTGCAAGTTAACATTTATCGTATGCCCATCAGCGTGGGCACTTTAGTCCATAAATACTGTTTACCACTAAGGCCGATTGTCATTAAAGACAAAAAAAAAGGGAGGGGGCAGGTCTAATTAGACCTTTTCCCTGGACAGTTTTGAAATCCTGGGATTAAAGACATGCATTGTTTACACACCCCGTCAGACACTTGGCAAACTGAATTGTCCAGATTTTTCCAGACCTTGAAGCAAAAGCAAAACCATAATCCTGCCACACAATAGGGCACATGTGTCAGACCAAGGCATTGGCGGGGCCCACCTGGCAGCGTGGTCTGATGTTTCTGGGAGTCACCGGTCTGCTCCACAATGTCGTCATGCCAACTCCATGCCTTATGGGCTGCATATAATCATCCTGATGGAGAAATGGGGAAAAGTCACAAGGCTAGGGAGGCACTGTACGATTCGTCGAAATGTGAGCACCCACACCCTTCTTTACCCAAAAAAGCACTCATAGTGAGTTCAGCAATGTTAGCAATCTATTCACACCCAGAGTGGCAGACAAAAGACATGACCAGCCAATCAAATATTTAATCTGTGCCTCAGCAGCAACGGATCCAGTTAATTTTTAACTGTGGCGGCTGACAAGCAGCTTGCTCAGGTATAATGGAGACGCAATCCATGCCTTCCAGATGAAATGGAATCTTCTTCCCACTATCTCTACAGGGTGACGTGCTGAGACCCACTGGCTTGCCACCCCGTCGCATCCAGCTTCTTTGCCCATGCCCGGGATCACACTCACTCCCTCCCAAACCAGATCCCATCTCTGTGGAGTCATATGAGGACTTGAAAGGGGCAGGAGGCTGTTATTCCCAAGTAAAAGCTGAACCCACAGGTGCCGCCAATTGTTTCCTCCATCAAGGTTCCAGGTGTTTCCTGTGCTGGGCACTGCGGTGAGGACGACAGACACCTCATCCTCTCCTACTCTGTCCACCATAGCTTTATAAGGCAACTATAATTGCCCCCATTATAGAGCTGAAGAAACTGTGGCTTGAAGGGTAACCACAGATAGTGGCAGTGTGAATCTGGCAGCTGCCCACAATCTGAGTTCAAGCCATCCTCCTATGAAGCCCGACGTGGGGCTCTACTGTATGAGCCGGGAGACCCCCCTTGGCTTCAGGCCACTGCCTTCGGGCGGCAGGGAGGCAGCCTAGTGCAGACTCTGCAGCCCACAGACTGGGTTCAAATCCTCCTCTCCCACTTGCTGGCTGTGCGACATGAGGCAAGCTCCTGAACCTCTCTGAGCCTTGTTAAACAGGCATGATAACAGTGCCAACCTCATCGGGCTATTGCAAGGATTAAATGAGGTATACAAACATTATAAAGAAGAAGCGCTTCAATATTGGGTTTAAATGCAGTGATTGGGTCACAGTCTCTAGTACCTAGAGGAACCCACCCCTCTGTGGGACATTCCAGGGGTACCAGGCAGAGCCCAGCTGCCTCGTGTCTGAAGCCAGTTACTCCGTCCCGTGAGAACTCTACACCTCAGCTAGGACTGGGTCCCCAGGAAGGGCACCCCTTCCCCCAGATCAGACCCTGGCACCTCAGTGCTGGGTGGCTGCTGAGGGCAGGCTCTGACTGGGGAGCAGGGGCTGGGGGATACGCCTGAGGGATAACAGAGGGGCACAACCAGCCGAGGACAGACTCTGGGCCACGCTGAGGAAATGGTCTCCTTCATCAAGATCCTCACCGAGAGCTTATCTCCTCCCCTTCCAGGGTGGGGCCAGCTGCACCCCCTCGGCCCTTCACCACCCGCCAGACAGGGCTTTTGAAACAGGAAGAGTTTAAAGCGATGTCCCACCTGTGACTTGGTGACATGCAGGACTGACTCAATACGTGGATCACTGACTTCCAACTTCTCTTGAAAACTCAGAAAGTCTGTCCATGCCGGACCTGCATTCCTGAGCAGCAGCAATCCAGGGAGCTGGGTCAGGGGTCAAGGCTCCCGTCAAATGGACACGCACACTCACCATGCCAGGGGCCCACCAGCCTGCTTTGCTCGCACGACCTGCTGGTGAGCTGGGCATGATCCCTAGAGAGTGCGAGCAGGACCTCATCAGAGTTACCACGAAGCCCTTGCAAGTTAGAGCTGACCTTTACGAATCGGCTGACCCAGGCACTCGGGTCTCACAAGCGTGGTGACCTAGCCTGGGCCCTACCAAGTGTCATTCAGCAGATTGAGGAGGGAACTGGCATCTCTGTTTTCAACAAGCTCCCCAAGTGATTCTGAGGCACTTCAAGTATCAGAATCAAATCCTCCTCGTATGATCGCGAGGCTGACATTCGGCTGTGACATTTGGCAGGAGCAAGGCCATGTTGGTTGTTAGTATATTGAAGAAGGCCTGTACTGACATATGGAGAGTAGGTGCTCTGGGCTCCCCACGGCCTCTGCCCCACTCCTGTGCCCTGGCCCTTTCTCCAGGTCCTCCCCATTGCTCTGCCCTCTAACAGCTAACAGGCTAAGGTGGGGGCAGCTGAGACCTACAGCAATAAAGCCCTCCTTCATTCTGATTGGCTAGTGCCTATGCTATATTGGTGGTTACAGAGCATGACTATTAGCCTATTATACAGAATCAGGCCCAGCAAGGTCACTCAGAGGTTGAGGGCACTGTTCTGAAGCCCAGCAGTCTTCCCACCACATCCTGGCCACTATCCAGCCCTCGACGGCCACCTTCACCAGGCCCTTGGCTTAGGCAAGGAGCTGACTCGAGGGCGGGCATTTCCCTACTCTCTGCTCCGCCTCTTTCAGCTAATACTTTCCCAGGCATAAGCAGTGCCCTCTAGCTTCCCACCTCCTCTGGCAGGTTCGGCAGATGTGGAAGTCATTTGTTTCAGTAACATGAGCAGGCACGCACCCTCACTCTCTCACCTGCCTCTGTCCCCACAGTGCAGCCCCACAGCCCCAAGACTCACATCTCAGGAAGTGAACAGCTGTGGCAGGTAGAACAGCAAAGTGCTAGCAAGTGTCTTCCGCCTGGGAGCAGGTGCTTAGCAGGCTGGGCTGTACCGGGGCCAGCAGCTGCCACCCCTGAGGCCTCCCTTGTTCTCTTGAGGGTCAGGACCCCAGTCCTGCTTTGGCTAAGAGAAGGGAATACTAGCACTTGCAGCAACCCCTCGGGCGGCTAAGAAACACAGTGACTCAGGGAATGGGTTTGGCAGAGGCCTCAACTCCGGGGAGCCTCACAGCGAGCTGATGTCATTGAGAGGAAGTCTTGCAAGGACATTGTGCTTGAAATGGAGCAACATTAAATGATGGAGCCATCTGTCTGCCAGGCCTTAGGACTGTGTCCCAGACCAGAGCAGAAACGAAATGTTCCCAGGACACCCTTCTGTCTCCTGACCTGCGCTCTGACAGACAGAATGCAGGGGAGATGGGGTCAAAGATGACAGCGGTGGGGGCAGGCACAGCAAGTACAGGTTGACCTTCCATCCGTTTGCTCATTCCACCACAGCTGCCCATCACCCGCTCCAGACCAGACTCCGTGACAGGCCGTGGGAGACTGTGGTTAACAGGATAGATAAAATACACGTGGGCCTCACAGAGTGCTGTTTCTCACTTGTTTCTTCTGGATTTGGGGCTCCTTGCTGCTTTTTTCCTTTTGATTAATTAAAATGTTACATATATAATTGTATATGATCATAAACAAATAACCAGGTACCTACCACCTAGCTCTTTAAAAATCAATAGTTATCAATACCTGAAGCCTGCCGTGTGCCTCCCCCATTCTCACGCCTCTCTCGTCTCCTCCCCACTTCCCTCAGAACCGCTGTGCTGAATTCCATGCTTGTCATTCCCTTGTAAGCATCCCACACGCGAACCCTAAGGAATTTCCAGGGCAGCTCACAGAGGCGCTCAGCAAACACTAGTCCAAGCAGCCTGCAGCCTGAGGCCAGAGGCGCCCTGCCTGAATATTTGGACTCCCACCTGGCTGCTGTCACTGGGATTCTGAGACTTTGATTCACTGCTGGGAATTGACATTTTGATGCACTGAGCATGTCTGGTTTCAAGAAGTTCTAGTTTAGAGGGATTTTTACAAGAATTCTTCCCAAAACTGCTGTTTGGGGAGAACTTGCTGCTCCTAAATCGGGAAAACATGGGTTGTGCCTGTGCGCGAATTGTTGGAGTATACACAGGGCTTCTGGGCAACTGTCCTCTAGGCCTTGCCTGGAACCTGGGGGCAGCTGACGGCAGAAACCAGTTTCTGAAACCAGAATCTGGAACGAAAACAGATCTTGCTGCTGCTGACAAATTCTCATGAGAACCTTGTTGAGTATTCGGGGCAAAGCTGTTTCTGGAACGAAACCAGAATCTGGAACGAAAACGGATCTTGCTGCTGCTGACAAATTCTCATGAGAACCTTGTTGAGTATTCGGGGCAAAGCTGTTTCTGTCCCAGACTACAGATCAAAACACTGAAAGCCAGAATGTTTCAGGGCATTGCTCAAGGTGACACAATTAGTTTGAGAGGGCAGGAAGACTCAAAACAAAACTTTCTCTGACTTTTATTATCCCAGCAATAACAGCCCCCATGCCCTGAGCCCCGACTATATGCCAAGCACTGTACATGCATCATGCTACCTACTCCTACCCAACTGTGTGAGGGGAGATGCTGCTTTCATCTTATTTTAGAGATTAGAACTAAGGCTCAGACACCCAGTGACCACAAGTTCAAGGCAACAAGGTCCGGAGCCCAAATTATCCCACGTCCCTACATCGCTCTTCTTCAGGAGCAGCTATAAGCACATGACGTGGTCGAGGCTGGAGAGGATGGAGAAATGGATACGTGTTGCTGGGACCATGGGATAAAGGTGGAGATGGGGTGGGAGATTGTCTGACTTGGAGTCAAGCCCTCCCAGCGAAAACTACCCCTGCTGCAAGGCTGGCCAGGCACAGTCAAGCAACTAGAAAAAGAACCGAAGTTTGCAACTTGGTTGTGGATCACTGGCGTCAGCACACGACGGTCATTTTGCATTCCCTACATTTCTCCCTGGTCATGAGTTTATTTCTGATTTTGCCTGTCCTCACTCTAAGTGATACAGAGCAGTCCCAGAAGAAGGGGGATATGATCTGCAAAATAACCTCCCACTTTCATCTTCTCTGTGGATCAAGAGGTCTCACGAGCTGATGTCTTCCAGTGTTCCATGCTGGTATTTATCCAAAGGTCAAAGGCAATTGCTTTTGGGGGTAAATGCACATCCACACATGCAAGCTAATTATGCAGATAGGGTCGTTGCTAGATGGACAAGAGCTGCAGCCTGGGAGGGACTAAAAGGATGCCAGCCAAGAGCCAGAGAAAAAAGCAAAAGGCATTTGCAAAGGCCATTTTGTGCATCCTCGGTTAATGCTACTAGAATCAGTGCTTGCATGACTCACTGACTTGATGAAGGCCATTTGCAATGTCAGAGTTTGAATGCTGTAGATCGCATGTGTCCTAGAGGTCAGAGCCGTCCATGAAACAACACTCTGAACCATCCGAGCGGATCATAAAGCTATTTGCACACAGGAGACCCTCCCAAATAAGGAGAAGCAAGTTTGAATCAAAACGTGTAGAGAGGTGGCAAAACATCTGGAGAACCAGAGTAATCCAGATAAAGATTGCCTTCCAAGGGCTGCACGCAGATTCCTACCCGGCCTCCCCCAGTTCCTCGGGGACTTGGAGGGAGCTGGAGAACCGCACCGCATGAAGACGACGTGTGAGCCACGGCCCGAGCGAGCACCGGCTTCACAACAGGCCGGGCAGGCACACAGTCAAGGGGCAACACTGCTGGGAAGGGAAGGCCAGTCTTAGATATCAAAACATTTCCAAATTGCCCATTCTGCCTATTTTATGCGTAAGCTGAATTCTTTTTCAGTTGAAGTTGTTCTTAGATGTTGGCAAATCTGAGAGCTGAGGCCATCTTCATCTTGTAGGCCTACCACAAAAAATTAGATTTTTAAGTACGAGTCAACAAAGATTTGGAGACAGCTGTAACAGCTCCAGCTCCTGTTCACTAGAATGTTACAAGATACGGAGAAGCAATATCATATAGCTGGGGTGATGGGTTTTAGAGCCAAATTATCAGGGTTTTCTTTCACCTTTATCACTTACTGGTTGTGTTTCCTTTGGCAAACGACTGAGGAACCTTGGGAAAGTTACATCACCTCCCTAAACCTGTTCTGTCGCCTGTAAAATAGGGTTAGAACCTTCACTTCATAGGATTCTCCCAGGGTTAAACAAGATCACGCATGTACAGCTCTAAGCGTGGTACTGGGGACATCGAAATGTTCAATAAATGGTGGCTATTCAATAAATGAATATGGAAGCACAATTCAAAAACAGAGTGTAATGAAGAGCTAGGCTCTGTCCCACAGAAGGGAGAGAGGGGAGTAATTGGGGAGGGTTTTAGTTGTCGGGGAGCTTCAGTGAGGAGAAATCGGCTCTGAAACCTGGTAGTGTGGAGAGACATCATTAATGTGGAGAGGAAAACATGGGCTCTGGAATCACATGTCCCAGGGTTCAAACCCTGGTCCCACCACTTCTTGGGTGCCTGACCCAGGCCAAGTTAACACACTTCTGTGAGACTTTCTTCACACATCTGAATTGTAGAAACAAGAGGCAGTGCTTCTTAGGGTCGTTGGCAAGACGAAGTGAGACGGGTCGGCGAGATGCTGGTGTGCAGGAGGGACTCTAGAAGCGGCAGTTGTTGGAGGAGTTTGCAGGGAGGACAAAGCCTTGAAGCAGGCGAGAAGGACAAATGCTTCATGTCAGAACAGTCTTCCCAGCGGCTGTTCTTTAAACGTCAGGTCCGAGTGGCAGTGGCAGGATGGCTAAGAGCACAGGCAGTCAGGGGACCAGGATTCAGACCCAGGCTCTGTGCTTCCCTGTGTCACCATGTGCAAGTCACTTGATCTCTCCAATCCCTAGTTCCCTTCCTGTGAAGCGCAGGCATTAAGTGTGCTTTCCTGGAGTGGGTTGGGGGAGGTTAAATGAGATGAAGTCATTAACACAGTGCCAGCAACTAGAAAATGCTGTGTGATGGTAGCTGTGGTTAGTACGTACCTGCATTTTTGCATTCAGCCCTCCCAACCATCCCGTGAGTTAACTGTTGTTGTCCACAGTGCACAGATCAAACAGCGAAGGCTCAGAGGGTAAACCATTTGCCTGAGGTCACAGTAAGGAAGCGCTGGGGCTGGCTCTGTAAGACTACAAGTCTCCGCTTCTTGCTCTCTTTACCTCTCAGGTGAGCTGGCCAGTGGTGCTAAGGTTGAGATGAGAGGACCATTATTTTTAAATGCATCTTATGGCATAATCCTCACCAGTCTTTTCTCTTCTGGTTGTCCCCACCACCTTCTCTGGTGAAGGTTTCAGGCTGAGGGTTTTCTGTGGCCCTGGTTGTAGCCCTTGGGCATGCACTGGTGCTGCCCCTCTGCCACTTGGAGCTTCACCAGGCTGACCCGGTTCATGAAATATCCGTTCTGATTTGCAGGCAGGTCCAACACAGACATGCTCCCAGCTGGCTGGTGATTTCCGTAAGAGCCCCTCCTCCTTGGTGCTAATAAACAAACATTAAATGTTCCTGGCACACTTTGTGTTTCAGCAAATGCCTGTGTTGAACCCCTGCTGGACACACCATTATGGCTGAGGGGCCCCAGGCCACCAACCTAGCTCGCACTCCTGCTCCATTCAAGGTCACAGAATGATTTCTTCCCAGGAAGAAATCAATGTCACCTCATTTGTTTACTTGTTTTCCTTCAACAAATATTGCTTGAGCACCTACTTTGTGCCAAGGCTCTTCCATACACTTGGGAAACGGCAGTGAGCAATTAAGTCATGTCCTGCCTTGTGGAGGGGAGTAAATGCCAAACAATTAAGCACACAGGATTATTTCTATGTGACAGACCGTATGAAGGGAACCAAGTGCTGGGTCAGAGAATGGCTGAAGGCTAAGAGCCACATTATGCAGGGTGTCTCTCCAAGGCGCTGACGTTTGGACTGAGACTTGAAGACTGAGGAGGAACCAGACATACAGTGGGACACAGTGAACAGGAACCAGCTCAACATGTCCAGGAAATTCATCCACTTATCAACAATTTTTGGTCATACAATAAATGTGCATCGAATGAATGACTGGAGAACAGATGAATCCTTTTTTCCTGCCAAGAAGGTCCTTTGCAGGAAGGATGCTCTTATGGGAGATGCCACAGGCGGAGAGGCGGCTCCCTCCCTGTTCTCCAGCCCAGGCCCCATCCCTGCAGCATGGGGCTGGCATGGGCACTCGTGCTCCGGGATACGGGATCTTGGCACACATCCCAAAGGGACTGGCCCGCACAGCTTTTTTTAAGCAATGGCTGGGCAGCAAGCAAAAGAAAGCTGCCATTTTTCTAAGCAGTCACAATGGTTGTTTGAAATTGGGCAGACAGGCCATGAAATGTCATCTGCTTTGCTATCATTAGGATGTTATTTACTGAATTTCCACGCTCACTCACTCATTCTGAAAATACTTACTGAGAGTCTCTCTCCCCACCCGTCCCTCCCTTGTCCTTCTCCTACTCTTCCTTCTTCTCCCTCCTCTTTCTCTCTGACTCTGCCCCCCTCTCATTCTCTCCTGCTCAGCGCCCCTCCACCTTCCTCTGGTACAGCACTCAAGAGCCCAGGCTGCAGAGCTGCAACCCTCGAGTTGCATCCTAAGTATGACTCACTGTGAGAGTCTGGGCAAGTCACTTCACCTCCTGGAGTCTCAATTTTCTCATCTTTATAATGGGAATAATAATAGAGGCCATCTCACAACAACCATATAAAGTAAATACTGAGCTGTTATTATCCTCATTTTATAGGTTAGGATATAAAATTTTAAGAACACAACTTAGGAAACTGAGACTTAGGTTTTTAAGGCAAAAGGGACTCTAGCAATGAATGTGACAAGGAGCTGGTTTAATCATCTGTACCTACCTCTAGGGTTTTCAGTTCCTTGAGATAATCAAAAAGCAGGATCACAATAAATAGCCTTCAGGAGGTCTCTTAATTTATAATACTTTTGAGCTAATAATTATAGAACCCCTGCTACATGCCAAACACTGTTTTATGTTCTTTACTTATATTGACTGATTTAAAAATCTCACCACAAACCTTACAAAGTAAATATGACTACCACTCCCATTTTACAGATAAAGAAACTAAGACCTAGAGAGAGGAAAATAATTTCCTCAGGGTTACACAGCTAAGAATTAACAGATCCTGGGAATAAACCCAAGCCACCCGACTCCAGTCTATGCTGCTAACCTTATTCAAGACAAGACACAAAAGCTTTTCTGCCGACATCAGGGTTTTCCATTTCAAATAGACTTGTCCTCTGAATGCTCAGTAAACGAAGAATCATTACCTCCCTGACCCCAAAGTCCCTGGACTGCAGACGCGGCACCGATAAGGGCTGCTGCCTGGATGTGCGTGACGTGGCCTTGGGTAAAGGCCCGCCTCCTGCCGCTGCGGGGATTTTTGGGTACCTATTACGTGTCAGTCGACCTTAGAGCTGAAGTTCTTTCTGTACCGCTTAACACAGCCTGGAAGGTCAAGGGTAACGTGGCGGCCGGCCTTCCTTTGGCCGTCGCTTCATGACTTCCCTGCCCTTGCGATTCCTCCCAGAAATGCTACATCACGGCACCTGCAGGGAAACGAGCGAGCCAATCAGCAGACCCCCTCGGGGTCCCAGTGCAGCGCTCTGAAGCGGCCTTGGCAGACGCGCGGACGCCGGGCCCGATCTGCGCATCAACATGGCCGTTTCTGGGGGCGCTGCGACGCGTGTCCAGAAGCACATGGCCAGCGTCGGCGCCGCACCACTTCAGGCGCAGGGAAGAGACGCAGATTCTGTCTACACGGATAATTTCACTGATAGGTCATGAATTAGGATGAAACTCCTGCCCACGTGTGCTGCTATGTAGCAAAGACCCTGACTCCAAATCCGGTGTGATTCACTGACGGGGCAGGATGCAGAACGCGTCCTTGCGATCACAGACCCTGGCTCGGTGCCTGCTTCCCATGCCCGGCGGGGGGCGGCCACCCGGCCCCTCCGCCGGCTCCACGTGCTGCGGTGCTGGGCGAAGCGCGGCCGCCAGGGGTAAGCGCGGCCGCGCCTTTGCAGGCCCGAGAGCTCAGGGCAGCTCCGGCTGGGGCCCACGCGCCGCCGCCTGCTGCGGAGCCGGGCCCCCCCAGCACACTCGCCCCGACACGCGCAGATCACGGTCTGCCTTTGGAGAGTGGGGGCCGGGGGAATTCTCCCCGATCGTGTTCCCCACAAGCTTCGCCCACGAGATCTCTCCCACTCCATCCCGCAAAGAACGGGGCTGCAATCATTACACTTTCCGCAGACAGACAACTGGGCTGTCACATCCGCGTGAGGCCTCGGGTAGAAAAGACATCAGGCTCCGGATGAAAGAAGCTGGAGGAAACGGACAACTACCCCTCCCTCTCGTTTCCTGTTTCCCTGGCGTTCCACGGGGTCTCGCTTGTGGACAGACCCTAGGGCTGGGTCTCGGCAGGCGAGCCCTTCTGCTGTTATCAGGCCAGCTTCCCATGGTCCTCTCAGCTTTCTCCTGTCGCCCACCAGGCGGTCAGTTAGAGCCTCGCGGGCACCCAGGAGGGCGGGCAATGGGGAGGGCAGCCAGCGCCTGTGACACGGTCCAAAGGGCCCGGCCTGGCAGGGAAGGGGGGACACTGGCATCATCACACATTTGGGGATGACAGGGAGGCAGGCTGAGTTTGCCAATCAAATATTTGAGGGCCCGGAGAAATTCTGGGACTTGTGAATTCTAACTCTTTATTTTTGAAGAGATTTCAGACTTCCAGAAATGTTGCCAAGAGAAATGCCCTTTAGAGCTGGGTTCCTTAGATATTAATTAGATCTCAACATTTACTATGTCTTGATTCTCTCTGCCTTTCATATATATGTTTTTTTTATCTACATATATATATAGATAATATTAAATAAAAATGTAATATGAATTATACATGTAATTTTTCTGCACCATCTGAGAGTAAGCTGATCGAGTGCCCATTTATCCCTATGCATTTCGTTGTGCATTTCCTAAAAACAAAGATGTGCTCTTACATAATCACAGTACAATTACCCAAACTAGGAAATTAACATTGATACAGTACATTAACTAGCCTATGCATCTTATTCATCTGCCCTAATTTGTCAATTGTTCTCTTTTCTTTTATAGAAAACAATTTTAATGTCATATCTAGGGTCCTATCTAGGGCCAAACACTGCATTTAATTGTCCTATCACTTCAGTTTCTTTTAATCTGG